ATCACTCACCCCTCAACAAATCTCTGCACTGACATAYATCAGCTCAAATCAAAAAGGCCAAAGTTACCCTGAGGATCTCCAAGCACTGACAGAGACAGTGACTTTGGAGAGGAGTGGGAGTCGTGTTAGCTCAATGCTGAGCCACACTGGTAGGACTGCTGGGAGGAAAGCTGCGCACTGAAGGTTTTACAGTGCGTCAAGGAGGACACAGCAATTCATAGGGAGAGGCAGCATATTTTATGAGACATCTATAGCTGGGGAAAAAAAAAAGAAAAGAAAAAAGGAGGGGGACAATTTTCAGGTACTCAATCCTTCCTTACATCCCTTAGGATCTTAAGAGTGTGCCCAAAAACGCTTCTCTGCTTSTTTGCCAGTTCTATCAATTCTAATATTATAAAAGATAGTACCTTTCACTTCACTTTGGCTCCCTTGCATCCTTAGGCACCAGTGCTGTGACACCAGCATTACCAGCGGTCTTTATGCCATACGGCCTAGAAAGTTTCTTCGCTGTTACTGTCCCGTTCCTGACACACAAGGATCTGTGGGAAAGCACAGTCCTTATGTGGGTCTGCACTAGTGAGCTGAGACCTTCCCTCATTCTCACTAGTGGCCAAGTTCATCAAACAGAGGACTCCAAGCACCCGGCACCATCATAGGGCTATTTCCCCTGAGATAACCTGCAAATCCAGGTTATATAACTGGGAATAACTTCTTTAACTTTGCAATAATTCGCTCCATGATCACTGTAGATCTGTCCACAAGAATGTGGCTTGCTCCAAAAACCATGATTTTCATATCCCTGTTAGGAGTTCTCAAGCCACCACAAATAAAATTATTGTGGCACTTCTCGGGCCCCTGTCTGGTCTTGCTCCCTGCAATAAACAATGATATTGCTGATGCTTCCTTGCATTTTCAGTGGAAGGTTCTCATGTGCTAGCAAGGAAAGATACACAAACATTCATGCTGTTGTGTTTAGTAACTCCTCTAAAAGTTAAGCTTCATGAATTTTATTTGCTTAGAGAATTTTTTTTTTCTCCAAATAATGCCTTCTCACTCAAAAACAGAACTTCTCCTCAAATCATCTCCATTTTCATTAAAACATGTTGCATCTTAGACCTTTTCTCAGCAGCCTGAACAACTTCATTAGGACATGGACGGTCAAAAAAAAAAAAATATGGCTTTCTTGAAAAATAATTTCCCTGAAACAATATTGTGATTTATTTTTATGGTAGAAATTCTCCAAAATCTCGATGGACTAGGTACACACATGACCAATGGGTCTTATAATGAGAGCTCTGCACATGAGAAAAAATGAGGCCGTTCAGGTAATTGCCAGGAAGTCAAACCTTACAGASAGTTGCAGGTTATCTCTATCCTGGGTCTAACAAGTCATGCTATTCCAGGAGCAAGTAGCCAAAGACAACAAAGATACAGGTATGTTACAATTCTACAATTACCAGGAAAACAGGGGCTCCACAATTAAATGGCCCTGTCATCAAACACCATGTAGATCTATTACTGACCTTAACAGCAAAGCGCAGTTAATGTTTCCTAGACCTGCATGAAATTAGCTCCTTTTTGGTACAGTAAAAAATTCATACTTAATACAATATTTGTATATTTTCCCACAAATAGATTACATGCTTTTCAAGCTGTATGAATTTTGAAGTATTAATCATGAAAGCAGGAGCTGATTCTGGCTTCTAGCTACCTCAGAGCAATCTTATTAACTTGAATGAAATCTTAAACATGCAGCAGAGGGCAGGATTTTCACCTAAGATATCAATTTATGCAGAATTACCAATCTTAAATAGGGTTGTGCTAGGCATCCTTAAATTACTATAGATCAATGAAATATAAAGTCAATCAATAAGTTCTGAGTGATACCTACTGTTTTATTCATATAAATTCTTTCTGTTCTCTCTTAGCAGCTATTTCTTCCTTCCTTCTTCATTACTTTTTACATTTTTCATCATGTGCTACATTATTTTTCTCCTTTGCCTGGTAGCAAGTCTTTTCAAGCCTTCTTCATGGGAAAGTTTCTTCCCAGCATAGGACCATTCTCATATCCCTTTTTTAGGAATATAAGAATCCCACAGTTCTGCAACATCCTTTCAGAGGCGCTGCTTGACAGTGCTCCACGTGATAAGGAATCACTGATTTATGATGGCTCTATAACATTTTCCATATTCTTCTTTCCCCTATGTGTTATGCACCATACTATCACAACTGCTTTGAGTGCATGGAGTTATACAGTTTAATGCTTCCCAGGAATCTGACACTACATATCTGCTTATCAATTTGATTAAAGTGGTATTTAGTTACTACAGAGTAACTGCATACAGATAAAYTAAAACATTGAGATCTGTAGCTGGGGTTCATCTACCGTAATTTTAGCTGTCAAAAAAGTTAGGAGTCTTTTGCAAGGTGTAGTTAGGTTCCTTCTAATGTTAATGAGAAAGGCACATTCAGAGAGATATTCATGCCATCTTACAACAGGTATCTAGGATAAGATGAATTCACCCTCCAGGTTTGATCTCTCCACTCGCTTTAGGAGAACACAGACTAATRGTTTAGGCTAAAAGCCTAATGTTTTCAGGACAAGAGTTAAATGTGAAATGTGTTCCTCTCTCTGCTTCTTTATATTGCTTCTGAATTGTTTCAGCACAGACAGATCTGAACTCATGTGCCTATCYTTTATGCAGCTATTAAACCCACCGGGTTCTTAACATTTAATTTGATATTTATTTATTCATCTCTGCCCAATATTTGAAATTCAAAAGAGCTGGCTCCCATATTTCTGCCTGCGATTATCCAGACAGAATGATATGCATGAGACATTGCACACACTGTGAATCTGATGCATTCCATAATAGGCAGTTACATCCCATGGATTGTGATACTAATACATCCAGGACATATCAGTACTCCTACATATGTACCAAGCAAACCTTCTGCAGAGCCTATTGACCATATGCTGGACACGGTGGATTTAACACAGCCTTGGCTGACAGGAGTGTGATGTGAATCTGAAACATCTACATGTTACCTCAATACTACATGGAATTAATCCATACAGCTCCTTGAGCCAGCTAGAACAGACTGCTGGATGGCCAGAAACCTGCAATTATGATGCAGAAAAGAGGAAAAAGTGATAGACAGCCCATGAAAACGCAAGTCTTCTGCCAAGATCAGCAGAACTCTTCAGGGGCTGCGTTTAATATTTTTAAGAAGTGATTTTCTTCTTCAAACAACCATTAGGCTGAATAGAATTGCGCTAAGGAGATTCCAGGCACTTCAAGTATTACCATATATATTTATATAAATACACAGACACATTATATATATAAATACTATATACAGCTTGCTAGATATGGATTATATATATATATATATACACACACATCCAGTTTATTTAACTTGAAGTAATTAGCAGCTATTAGATGGAGCCTGGAGCATCATTTCTGCTCCATGCTAATTTGAGCAGAGGAATGCTCATGCCAGACAGATGTCCTCACYGAGAGCCCAGGTTTCTAAATAGAGCAGCCTTGGTTTAACACAGGTGAGAGCTGAGGAATGAGAAATCTCTCTGAGGCTTTGCACTAGCCATAAAGAACTGGGATGTTCTTTAATGCCCTCAGCCACAGACATAAACCACCAGATCAAAACTGGGTCTCCCAAATGCTCCTCAGAGTAGTCCATTCACCATTTGGAAAATCATTGCCTCCAGCAGCTTTTTAAGTTGTAAAAACTCCATTGCTGATAAACTCTATGAGCAGATGTCCCCATGATGCCAAAGAAAGTGGCAGTGGGCTGAGTTCCGAGGGGAACGAGGGGAGCTGTGATTCCCACTGCAGCTGACTCGCCCGCTCTCCTGATGAGCCAACCACCAGTGACAGACCCAAGCACGCAGCCTCCCCATCGCTGTCCTCCCAGATCACACGGCTCCAGCTTTCTGCCAAATCCCAGCCTACCCACTTAAACTCCCATTTTTACGAGCAGCACTTTGAAGACAGAAAAATAGAAGCTTAGGTCAACTCAGCCTTGCCCAAAAAAGGGAAGCATCTGCCTTTTCTGTACCGCTTGGATCCAAGCCTTGCCTCATCTTTTCAGCATTGGTCACAACCAGCTAACGTCATCACCCTCTCTAATCTCTGCGAATTCGGAGCTTTCTACAGCCTGGAATCACTGCAGCCTGAACCCTGTTCTTCACCCAAATGGCACGTTTTTAGGAAATACTATTTCACATCATATTATTCATTCTCACACCTCCACAGATATGAAATGAGGAGAGGTGACCTTGTTCCATCCAGCAGTTTTATCAGAAAAAAAAAAGTCTCCAAAATGAGCAGCTTCTCCTTGAATTTCTATCACTTTCTCCCCATCTACAGAACCATCATCAACTATCTGACAAATTTACAACCATTTTCCACTTTAAAGTTGCTTTGCAACGTCTTTTTCCAATCTCCTGCTATTTTGCCTCCCACAAATACTGCAAATACTTCTTCAATCCTTCAAGCCTTACTTGTCGTCTGCCAAATCAGCACAAACTTTTCCATCTATTAAAATGATCCCTCACATCTTTACTCTGTGCTTCACTGCTCTCTCCAATTCACCACTGGTTTCTGTGCTTCAACAAGAAGCTTTCCAAGTAGCTTCAACAACAGCAAGTTGGACCCTTATGACCATTGATAATGAACTTTCAAAACAGATCAGATTGAACAGGGCAAAACTGAGGCCCAGAATCACAGAAGGGTTGGGGTTGGAAGGGACCTCTAGAGAGCATCTAGTCCAATYCCCTGCTTAAACAGGGACATCTAGAGCAGGTGGCACAGAGATCAACTGATTTGCCTCAGACCCCACAGGCAACCTGTAGCAGGCAGGCACAGGTTTCCAATCCCATGGCTTCTGTTCCCATGCATAGAAGAATAAGAACGTTGCTCCTCTTACCCAGACACCTTGTACAAAATTCATGTCACATTCATATCGCATCAACCTACCTGGGTGAAGATATATTCATCCTGCACAACAAGTGAGCTGACATCAATGGAGCGTGAAAAAGGTCCAATCCTTTTGGTCTCCGAGCACTCCTGGATCCGACACGTTAAGTAGTGGGTGCCTGTAACAGAAGAACAGCTACAAATGAGAAATGCCCACACGTGAGCTTGTTGTCTAAAAATGTTATCAGCAGCTTGAAAGAGGGTGTCTAAAGGGAAGTTTTAACCTCAACTTTAACGAGTTAGATGCTACAGCACAGTCCACCTTCAGCTTTCAAAGCCTGGACCAACCAAGGAATTCCTCATACTTCCACAGGCCACCATTTCCTTCCCTGTTGTGCAGATATCTCTCAGGTTAGCTAAGTTGCAATAACAAATAAAGGGTACAAATCATAAATGTATCAGAATATCGATGAGATGATATGGAGCAGATAGAGATTTCAAAAGCTATCCACGTAGACTATATTCACTCYACTACTTTTCTGGGTGTCTCCCTATCCTCCTTCAGATATACCTAGCCTTGATGACTAGTTTTAATTGCAGTAGTAATACACAAAGAGAAAAAAAAATACAATAATACCAGCACTATTAAGTTCAACTTATTTTGCTGAGAAAGTATCCGCCAAAATTAAGTAACAGCCATTATAAGCAACATATGCTAATTATGAAAATGCTACAGACATGATACTTCAGCATAACTAGCTGAAGAGTCCCAACTGTAGCTACACGTGCTGCACGAAGCACAAACAGCCTCTGTTTGGAGAGAGGTTGGGAAGACCATCACAGTGATGGGACACCTTGCCAGTCCCTGGCATTGCTTAAGAGGAGGAACAGAACTCAAAGAAGAATGTGAAGAAGAGGTAAGTCAATCAAACACTACCACAAAAGGAGCCTGTGTTGGAAAGCAGACATGTAGGTAGATGCTCACAGTGGTAAGGAGAGACATGTTCACCTCCAGCATGGTGTCAGAAGTGACAGGGAATTAAGCGTTAATTTTCTTGGGCTAAGAAAGGAAGTGAAACAGAACAATCAAGGCACTGTACGTGTGYATGTATGTAATCTAAACATGCCATCTCTGCCTTTGAATTGCCCTTCTGAAAACTGCAAGTCAGGGAGAAAATAAAAATACAACTGAGATGATGGCTGTAATGATAAAAGGATCGTATCTTTTACACTTTGATACTTTTACAGTCTTCCTAGCTTCCTAACTTGTTGACTTTTCTATAAACGGAGCGGGTAGGCCATTAAGAAAGAAAATAGAGTTTATAAGGGACGAGGTGAACCTGATTCAGTGATTTTAGCTCACACAACTGTACAACTGCAATAAGGATCTTGCTGAACTGAGCCCAAAAAGATAAAAGGGAAGTTCAAAAGGGGAGTAACTACTCTAGCAAAGCTTTTTACAGAATTCTCCCATCCATAAAACCTGCTACTGTCCTCTGTCTGCATCTTCCAGAGACAGTAAAATCTGTTTCAGAGAAAAGCAGTGGGGGACATGACTTATACCCTCTGACACRCAGCTAATTGCCTCCTTAGGTTCAAAGTCAAGATTCACAAAACTTGGCAGCTACTGCTTCCATAGCTTCATCTCACCAAAAGCCTCCAAAATTCAAAAAGAACATAGGACAGGCCAGAGGCATTGAATCCAACAGAGACAGCAAGGCTGTTGGTCAAAAAGGGGGGGGGGGGGGGGGGGGGGGGGGAAACCTACAACCAAACTACAACTGGTCTTTCATCTAGTAAAAGGTCATGCCCAGAAGCATGATTGAAAATCCTTGCTTCAAGGCTGCAGACCTAGCTCTGGCTTGAGGCATGGGGAATTCCAGGTGGATAAGGACTCATTCAGAGCACCTGCACACATAAATCCCAGCAGTAACAGGGAGRTCAGATTCTCAGCTGAGAGCAGTTAAGGCTCTTCATCAGTTGACAAATACAGATCTGGTACAGAGCTGCTGTTTACCTCTTGCACCTAAAATCCAAGACATCTTTGCCATGGACAAAAAACAACCTCTCCCAAAACAAGAGGTTCTTACAATATTGCTATTGTATCCAAAGAGCCTTGACTTGGTTCTTTGAGACTGCACTAAAATTAGGTAGAACAAGAAGGAGAGGTCAGGAGCTGTATTTTTAGAAGCTCATTCCCTCTGGTGTGTTCTCCTACACGGTCGCTTGTATATTCTTATCCCTCCAAACAGGGGATAATTTGCTACTGGTGAGTGACAGAACAGGAGAAGGAATAAAAACCTGTCACAAATGAAAAAAAAAAAAGAAAAAACACAAGTGTTGACATGACAACTAGCTTCTTGCCTACTGGGAAATGTGTCATTTTGAGTGTGTTACACCAGCAATCAAACAAACTCAAAGAAAGGCACTTGATTAATATTCACGGAAAGGTGGTGGTGAARTGAGCTTACCTCACTATCCACTTTCCACTTACTTTCTTGTTCATTTATTTTTATATATTTTACAATATACAGCTGGTGAAAGAAAACAACAAAAGACAACAAAAAATATCTTCAGATCTGTCTGTCTTTGACACAAAAATGAGCTCAATTTCATCTTTATTCCCACAGAAAGTGGGAAAAAAAAGCTTAAAAATATGTTTTAAAAATCTTGCTAAAAGTTATAGTGTATAACAAATAGCAACCTTGTAGCCAGAAAAAAAAGATGCTAACCACTRCAACAAGCAGAAAGTGGATGTTTCAAAGGCAAAAGGATCAGATTAAAGAAAGATCAAGAATAACAGCTCAGATCAGATCATGTCCAAACTGAGAAAATCCAAAGGCAGAAATTTCAAGGCCAAGGACTACGAAGGGACCATAAAGTCCCTACTTTGCCAAACCAAGCATGACTGGGGAAGCTAGTGGGGGAAGCAGGAACGTAAGAGGCTCTCTCTGCTGGGCAGTGCCCAAAGATGCTGAAATAGTTGAGCCTGTCACTTGGCTGAAGGCTGGAGATGGTCCTCCCTGACATGTTAGTGCAGCTTATAGCAGACATGGGACAGCAAGGGCTCCTGGCAGGGCTTGCAGTGCTAGTGAGCCAGCGAGCAGGCTAAGAGAATCACAGCTGACACACACAACTTGCACTAGCAGATTGGCTCAGCTTCCATTAGTGGCGAGTGAGACTTAAAATCATAAACTGCCAAGAAAATCACTGTGGAAGAGGGAAAACAACCAGCTAGCCTAACCATTCCCCCACCCCACTCCAGGGAAAAATGGTCTAGGAATGTAGATTGGATGGTAAATTATYCCCTAGGAATTAGTTAACCATAATCCAGTTTTACCTGTTGTTTTCTCTCTATTTTCCCTTTAATTAAAACATTGTTTATTGCATCGTATTTGTGTTTGGGGAGAACATTCTCTCATTGAACATCAGAAAGTTTAATAAAATATCTTTTCCAGGCGTGCCAGTGTATTTGTAACAAACTCCTTACAGTCAGCCCTGCCCTTGCTGTTGCCATCAAACACAGGCAGAAAGTACAGTGCTCACGGCTGCTACTTGTTTTTATAATTTAMAAATGCAAGCCTGCATTATTACCCAGCTGTAATAGCTCTGCCACGGTGTCAAATTATGTGATAACTTCATTTGCTATAAAAGACAGCAAAGACTTGAGACTAAACACAGGGGCAGGTTTATCTCAGAGACTCCACATTTTTTTTTAAGTCAGGTAACACCTGAAAGATTTAAGGCRAGATGTTTCTTGCAGAAGGAGGGGTGAACAACCTTCCACCCCCCATCTCCCTTAGCTTCCCAGGAGCCCTGACTCATGGATGAACGTGGTTCCTGCTGGTCCCACCACCTGCTCCCAGTCACAGAACATACATTAAGCTCCAATGTCTGATTCAACATTAGATTAGTTATTGACTCCAGTAGGAAATTACTGTTAAAAAAAGAAAAAAACCTTTAAGAAATAACTGCAGTATAAGTTTTTCTAAGTTTTTCAGCAGATATAAGTGCCTCACGTGTTTCACTAACAGCACAAAGGGCTATTTCGGCTACAGAATCAACCCATAGCAAGAAGTTCAGCCTACCTTTCCTGAGTACACAGAGCTGTACTCGCATCACACCAAGTGAACCTATAGCTTGGAGAATTTTTTTTTAATAACATAAACCAATATCACTTTAAATCCTAAAAAAAAATTAAAAAAAAAAAAAAAAACCACCTAATTGGAGCAATATGCTCCTCTTGTGGCTGAGAGAAGAGGCATTTTGCTGCAGAGGGACATGCTAGTGGGCCAGGCACAGATGACTGGGTCTTGCCTGTGCTGCAGTCTGCTGAGATCACGCCTTGCAATGGGATCGTTTTGCTGATGCCGCTGCTTAAGTCTGGCTTGCAGGGGAACCCTCAATGCCATCGACACACAATTTCAAATGCTGAATTTATACATTAAAACAAGAACAAACATCAACCCCTCGAGCAAACAAGACCTGCAGGAAGAGAGCTGTCTGTGAACTAGGGAGACATCTTTCAGATAAAGCATCTACACCCTTGACACATCCAATATTCAAATAGCTGGGTGAGCAAGTTTAAACTTAGTTTGAAAGCAGGCTCCATCAGCAGTTTGTTTGCTTGCTTGCTTGTTTACTTGCTTTTGGCCACATCCCCCAATATCTCTACAGCAGCACACACAGCAGCAAAGGCACCAGAGAAGCCTCCCTACCTTGTCCACCCACCTGCCGGTGTGTTTTGCTCTTTCCCCATATTGAACAAACAGCTGTCACCCCCACGCTTTTATTGCCTGGTTATTTGTTCAGCTGCCACCACTAAATAACAGGGGGAAGTCAATGAGAGATTTTTAGAGGATCCACAGTCTCAGAGAGGTTACCCCGATAGACAGGAGCTTGTTCATGCATCTGCCCCCTGCAACATTTGAMTAAAACAGTCTGCACCCAACAAAACGGAGGCCTCTTTCCACCAAAAATCTCCTACAATGCATGTCGCTACCCTACAGTGATTCTATGCTGCTTCCCTATGCTATTCCTGTTATTTGAGGGACACACGGCCCATTGTGGTGTATCACCGAGCTGGAGTCAGGCAGCTGCCAGCTCCATCCAGAAAAGAATGCATTATCATGCTGGGATCCTGGGAAATATAAAATATTTTGAAGAAATTGGAAGTGGTGGGAAAAATAATCAACTTACTTCTAATACATCATGTCTTCTTCCTTAGTGGTATATTGCTTAGGAATCCATTCTACATCAAATGTGGCTAGATGCATTTCTGTGAGGGCGTGAGCGATTTTTTATTTTTTCTATTTCTTCCTTTAGATATGGGTACCTCTTACAGGCTTGCAACATCTACATGCAGAGCACCTATTCACACATATTAAGCAAACCTGGAGAATCCCTTCAACATGTGTCAAGGAGTGGCTCGGGCACAGAGGCACTCTGGCTAAAGGAGAAGTCTGACAGTCAGCAATTTGTCACATAGTCTGCTAAATTCCCAGGTATGACTGAGCTGTTTTGAACCCCTCTGCAAGTGTATAGAAGCTCTGACTCGCATAGAATAGGTGATAATGAAGCAGCTAAACAGGGAACAGAATAGATGGCTCCTTAACCCAAAAGATTGAGGTTTTGCCCAGGCTTTGCACACATCTAAGCTGTGAAGCTGCCAAATTCCCCCCAGCGCCTAAGTATAAGAATATGCCTCACATCAAAACCCATGACATCTTTCCTATCAATTAAAATACAAATTGGGAGAGCAAACAAGCCAAGTGAAGTTCATTCTTCACTCCACTCATCACTCACGGCCCACTTTATCAGTGTTGGCTGCAGACACTCACGTCCATCAGCTGTCCGGGCTTCCATGTGCACAAGGTCAGGTTCTTTATCCAAACCCGCCACCGACCTGGGGAAGAAAAAGACAGAGAAGGCAGTCAGTGAGATAAACGGCAAATGAAGATGAAAAGAAGGTGAGGGAAGTAAATTAGTTTAACCATCTAACTTATGACACTTGGGATGTAGGTCCCTACCTCTTACTCACCGTGCTGTCTCCTCTGTGTTTCTACACTCAGCTCACTCTTGAGGTCCTTCAAAATACCTTTGCAAGTATGGTGAGCGAACCTGCCTGTCCTTTTTCTGAGACCCAGTAAAACCAGAGCTTTATTTAATATTGCTCAGTGGATGCTCTTGTCTAGTTCAACAATTCTATAATAGTTTTAACGCGACTGAACAGTGAAATAAGAGACTGAGTGTCTTGGTCTGTCCCTGGTTTGTTGGACAGTCTTGCTATTATATACCTCAGTTTCCCATCCACAAAAGAGGAATAATGACATCCATTTTCACAGAGAAGTGCTAATAAAAATACTAGAAGTATTGATTGTTCACCCCATACCTGTGATGATCATGAAACAGGGCATGATGAGTCTCTCCCTAACCCCACYGGTGGAAGACCAAGCACTTCAAGTCATGTGTACGGTTATTTTATTTCCTGAAAATATTTTGCAGGGCACATTACAGTTTTCCTTCTGGCAGAGGGAATGTCCAACCCAGAACAGAATTGTTATTATTAGTGTACTGCCTGATAAGTATCACTGGGAGATGAACATTTAGTCCTAGCAATGTCTGGCAGGGGGAAAAAAAATCCATAGATGTCCATGTGATTTATGGAGTGGCTTCTCCTGAGTTAACCAAGGGGTTAGATTAAAAAGGGACAACGACAAAAATCAGTTTCTAATTTGGTGGAAGCTGAATTTGATACAGTAGACTGTAAATAATAGATTCCCTCCAAGCCAGCCAACGTTCACAATTCCCTAATGTTCTGAAACTCTTTTATCACAATCCTTTGCTACTTTAATCCTTGGGGCATCAACAGCTAAAACATTTCAGAAAGGAAAAAAAAAGGAAAAATAAAAGAAATAAGAACAAACAAAATACAGATGCTCTGATATGGTTTCGTGGTTCTCAAAAAAAAAAAAACCACACAGTGATTGAAGCAGTAACAAACACACGTATGTGCTGGAGTTCAGCTGAGACCCGCCAGTGCTGCAAATGCCAGAGCAGCTACATGGTGACCCAGTGTGGAGGTAACTCAAATTGGCACCGCTTGTTAGCGGGAGCACCACATCAATAGCATGTCCATTCAAAAAGACATTAGGAACTGAGGCAAAATAAAAGAGAAGAAAACAAAACACTTTGCACAGGCAAAGCTTTCATCATCCTCCTCTCACTGAGAAAGCCTGTTCCTAATTGCTACCATCGGTTTCAGGGTGATCCCACAAGGAAGAAAACACTGCTCAGTATCAGCAAGAAGMCCTGGACAGTCCCCATCCCTGTGACCATGTCATTAACCAGGCTCTGATGTTCTGAGCATCTGACAGGAGGGCAAGTAGGAATTTCTTCAAATTACCAGTGAAAACTACTATGGAGTATGGCAATATTATTTCTTAATATCCTCCAGAGGGGGTACATATCTTTCCAGTCCTCAGCATTTTTTTTCATAACAAGCCATAAATAGTGTGATCTCTACTCTCCAGCAATCACAACTCAAGCCTAGGACATGACAACACAGGCAGAGAGGCATGTCCTTACCAAAGCACTGATCCATCACACCTTCATCAACGTGACAGGCAGTTCCAGAACTCTTAGGTACAGGAAGGAGGCCCTTGTGGATCTGTCTCACAGACCCTTCCAGGAGGTTTTCTCTTTAAATCCAGCCCTCACCCTGGATGCTGAGCTCTCCARACTCCTCTGGAAGCCAGCCATACCCTTTCAGAGCCAAATGCTTTCAGTCCAGAAGAGAAGAAACATCAGCATTAGGCTACTTTATTCATTTTAAAGGGATTGAAATCAGTATAATCTAAGCATTACCAAATAAAAATCAACATATTTATTGCCACTGAGCATGTGCATATTCTATAGATCTAACTAGTAAAATCTATTATGTAAATACCAGGGGATGACCAGATTCTCCTGAAACTTGTCAGCCTAGCTTGAAAATCCTTCCCAGTGCCATCTACTTGTTTACTTAATTAATTTTGACAAGCCTGATGGTTCTTTTCAGGAAAACAMCAACAAAAGGACCAGCAAACAGCATCCCCCCAGCACTCCGCAGCTCGCTGAGTGCCATACTTCAAGTGGAAAGGCTCACAAAGCAATCTCCAAAAGCAAGACAAGCTCTTCTTATCTGCAGTCAGATAACAAGCCTATCAAGTACTGCATCGGTCACCCTTCCTTCTCCCAAACCAAGTCCTTCTCTTGTTTCAAGCACTTTGGCTGCAAAACAAATCCCCAATCAATGCTGTGTCTTGATGCCACCTCTTGTATACGTTCCCACTGGTGAAGCAGGCAGCTTTGCTTTACAGGGCACACTCAGGAACCGGTCTGTGATCACTTGTCTGGAGAAGTTTTGAGCGAACAACACAACATGTCAGGCAATGGAGAGAGCACGACATGAGTGCGGGTCCTCCAGCACACCCACAGACAGACTGTAAAGCTGTTCCCTTATCCCATGTAGCAATCCCTCCAGTCTTGACAACTTATTGCAACCACCTCTCAGGTCTGGCAATAAAAGGAATATAGAAGACACCTTCGGAGCCTTATCTTTTGTCTCCTTATCCACACCTCCTCTCTTTGAGGGACGTTTGGAGGATAGGTAGCTTGAAACTGCTCAAAGCTAGGAAGGTATGATGGGGAGAGATGTCTGCACCCTCTGGCTCACACCTTCCACCATATGTTTGATGCAACCAAGTGCAGTCCGCAAAGTGAGGTGGGTGGGAAGGGGCTTCATTACTGTCTGGCTGAGAAACACCTCCATTGCAGAAGCTTGCAAAGGAAAAGAATATTTAACAACACTCAGAAGCCTCAGTTTGAAAACTGCTTTCCTGCCATGCGGTCACACCTCAGGCTCTAGACACAGCTCAACTCTCTATTTYACACATGCACAGACTCCAGGAGAGACAGCAAAAGCCAAGCCAAGCCCACAAAATGCACCCATGTGTGTTGTCCCGGATAACCCTGGGGGGAAGGAGCACTTACACTGCAACAATCCATCCTAAATCAACATCTTCCATCACCTCCATTCATTTATCACCACTTGGATGAGAAAATGCTGAGAGAGAGGAGGATGCAGCCAGAAGTGACAGGAAAGGTCAGTTTTTCCTGCTGACATGTTCCCTGACTGCTGCAATGGCAGTTTTTGAAACAGGGAGTCTGCAGCTAGTGCAGGATTCGTGGCCAATTACAAATTCAAACCAGCTCCGAATGCCATTAAGACTGAAGCAGCGGTTATTTTCKCATTGTTTTGCTGCTTCTCTTTTTCTGTTCTCATGGTAGCTCTTGTTTGTTTTGCAAGGTCTTTCCTCCTGTCTTTCTGGGACAGCGCTGTGTGCTCTGGAGAGCTGCAGAACCAACAGGAGCCTATGCAAGACCCTTCTCTCTCTTCAGGGCGCAGCACTGCGCACGAAYGCACATTTCCTAGACTGTTCTAACATTTCAGCCCTGACCTGGAGAGACAGAGAGCAAGAAGGTCACAGAAAACACAGCATCCTGCATTCTTACTATTAATTAGCTATTCTTTAAGTGTTTCTGTACAGCGTACTATATAGTTCAAAATAATAAACAAAAGCTTATGCAAAGAAAGGAACAAAAGTGCATAGATTCTCAGTTTGGGTTACCTGTTCTACTACCTACTTCTGCTTATCTTCTCTGCCACCTCTACCATCTTCCCCTGGAGTGCATCATTTCTGCACTTTTTTCCCCATCCATTTTTCAGATGCTTAGTGATGAAAGACAGCATTGAGATTTGGACACCGTAGCACCCTGGATCAAGCATACTGAGCAATGCAGACTGCTTGCTGATGAAATCTGCCAGATCCTTGCTCCTTAGGCCATGAGCAGAGAACAAGCAATGCTGTGTTCCCCCACCTCCTGGAACTGTTAATTTGGGAAGGAATGGGTTGGTGGGAAGGAATGTCATTGGAGATAAGCAACATTTGTGCCAAGGATTTACAACAAGGTCAAAAATCACATCTAAGGGGCTGAAACCTAGTTCAGAGCCTGCTGGTAACTGAACATTCTGCCAGCGGTATGCCTGGTTTCTGACATGTCGAGATGGCATTCAGCAGCTCTGGCTTTCAAAACAAAAACAAAGCTTTTAAAAGGGACTCAGACTTTCCCAAGATGCTGACTTGGACACTCAATTGTTGCAGGTTGAGGTGTCAGGCTGAAGGCAACTGTCACCGCTCTTGTAAAGACAGAGGAAACGGATGGAGGTTGCTTAGCAGGATGTTGTGCAGTTGATAAAGAGTGGAAATGGGCAGGAACGAGGCACATTTACTGTGTAATAATATGTAAAAAGGGGAAAACACATCCTCTTGCTGTAGGCAACTGCAATCAAACTAGTATATACTGCCAAGCAGTTTGCTGCAATTTTAATTGTATCCTGCCCMAAAAGTGAACAAACACTTGGGCAATTCTGTGCACTACCAAGTCAACAGTGCATATGTCTAACTTATCCATCTCACAGAAGCAGCATGTCTACACGGGCAGGCAGGAGCAAAAACCACACAATTCCTGCTAACCGATCCAGACCTTTTCATATAGCACCATTGCTGAATTACTTGCATCTTTTCAACACGCCAGCTTACCTCCTCCACCACTCTCCTGGTTGATATTTAATTCATGCTCAGCTGATGGACAAAGACAGCCGACAGCCTTCTGATACGGTACCATGCTTGCCAAGATATAAAAATCTGCAAGCACCTTCAGATGGTAAAGACGATGGTGTAAGTTCCCTGTCTATTTACTGCAGCCAAGCCTAGAATCAGCTCTATCAGAGAGGAGCTGTTCACATTTAACAGCCAGTGTTCTTCACTCGAGCCACACACACAGCAAAAATACACATGAACT